AGGAAAAGCTAACACAAATGCTGATGCACTATCGCGAATCGAAATCCAAACCAAAGAATTGCGAGAATTAGAGGAATACGTGAATAAAATCAACGAACACTTTCAGCCTCGAACAATGCGGACAATGCATCCATGTACAATAATGCATCAGACCGACAGACCGACATTGATAACGAACAACTAGATGATCACCCCGACCTTCCTCAACAATCAGCTGTTGAAAACCATCATGCGATATCCCACGAGGAAACTGACCTACCGATCGCAGGAAAAGCAACGATACTTCGTCAACAGAAACAGCTGACGAGCGACCCGGCTTACGACAAGGTAATAACGAAACATCTGAAACTGAGACGGCCGACGAAATTCCAGACGAGTCAAGAAGCGATATAACTGTTCATTCGAATCACGAAAATCCAGCTCTAAATATTCCAATATCTGAAAAACCACTGAATTACTACAATAACCAGGTTAAGCTAAATTTCGTCAATTTCAACCCTATCGGACCAATAACAGAACAAATATTTCCAAATAAAAAGAGAATCCACGCCCAGATAGGACTGCACGATATGGAAAACAACATCATAAAATTTTTCAAAGACTATATTCCACCAAAAATTAAATATGCCTTATATTTCAACCAAGATGAAAACTACCAAGCCACATGTGATATACTCCAAAGGACATTCAAAAACACTGCATATGACTTAGTCAAATGTAGTGAGATATTAGAAGATGTTGCGAACGCGGAGAATCAGCGAGAAATCATAAAAAACTATCATGAGGGAAAAACCAACCATAGGGGTATTAATGAGACAGAAATTCAGCTAAAGCTAAAAGCTAAAAGCAAATAAATATGACAGAAAACCAGCTAAACCTAAATTCATGATCACACCAACACCTACAAAACCAATGGAAGTTGTTCATATAGACACATTTCAGGCAAACGGGCAAAAATTTCTCACTTTAATTGACGCATTCTCCAAATATCCTCAAGCTTACCCTATAGATGGTTCAAATGCAATAAATATAATAAACGCACTTCTTATTTTCATAACACACCACGGACTACCAAAATTAATAATTTCGGACAATGGAACAGAGTTTAAAAATGGACTAATGAGAGATTTCATAGATACTCATAAAATTTCAATTCATTATACCACACCAGAGAATCCCCAATCCAATGGTATGATAAAAAGATTTCATTCAACCTTAATAGAACATCTTCGAGTTATAAAAGGCCAAAATCCAAACTTCAATGTAAAAGAACATATGCCATATGCTATTCTAGGGTATAACAACTCTATACACTCCGTCACCAAACAGAAGCCAATTGATATTTTGAATGGACATTTGGACCCCTTGGACCCATTCGATATTGATATTGAAAAAACACTGCTCAATAATTATGCTCAACAACACAGAGAAAAGGCCAAGGCAATCTACAAGGAACTCAATCAGAAAGCAATCGAGATCAAAGAAAGAACAATTGAAAAACGCAATGAAAAAAGACAAGTGCCAATAACCTACAAAACGAACACTAATATCTATACTAAAACCACAGAGAAACGGAACAAATTATTACCCAGATTCACTCGAAAGATCGTGACATCAAATAATCCAGTCACTGTTAAGTTACCCAATACAACTATACATAAGAAAAATATAAAACACAAGTCCGAACGAAGAATTGACCGTGAATCCTCGTTGCAGATGGAATCCCGTGCTGGGACAGGAAATCAGGATCCAGGATCTCAAAGACAACCCAGGGATCCTTCCCCTCAAGCTGGGACAAGCCAAAATACAAATTAGTTTCCATGATTTCATACACTACTACAACCTCACACCAATCGCCATAGAAATAGACGCCCTAACAGACCAGTACGAGAAGGTCACAGTCGCTATCGCTGATGGACTAAGCCACCCATATTTCGACAGTCTTCAAAATTTTGACCAAGGATTACGATACCAATTAGACGCAGTACATCGAAAATTTCAGACAATCTACCCGTCTCACCGAAGTAAGAGAGGCCTAATCAATGCCTTTGGCAGCATTATCAAAGCTATATCTGGTAATTTGGACAATGAAGATGCCGAAAAATATGATAACGCCATAACCACCCTCCAAAGCAATCAGAAGAACGTCATTCAACGTTTGAATCAACACATGTCACTAACAACTCGACTTATAGAGAACTTCAACAATACAGTTACCTTAATAACACACAACCAAGAAGTAATTGTCAGAGAAATCGATACGATTCGATCCAAACTCAATAAATTCGTATTCGAATTCAATGATTACATGCTAACAAGAAATATCCTGGACCAGATAAGCCTCTCGTTACAACTAATACTTCAACTACTCACCGATCTAGAAAATGCAGTTACATTCGCAAGAATCAATACCCTTCATAATAGTATCATCAGAACCAATGAATTGAAATCAATAACCGATATAATGTTAAGACACCACTCAGAGAAACAGCTCCTGTATATAAACGAAGAAGATCTGCTGAAATACTATGATGTCATATCAGTCGACGCCTATTACTCAAAATCAATGATCGTTTTCATTTTACACTTTCCACTCCTAATACCAGATATATTCAATCATTACCACTTATTCTCAATCCCTACTAGTAACTTAACCACCATTATTCCACCCAAACCTTATCTGACAATGAATACAGAACTCCACCAGTATACAGATAGACCATGCCGAAAAATCGATTTCGGGTACCTTTGCCCAAATATTGCCATTCAATACCGAACACGTAGTCCAGATTGCATCTCCCAGATTCTTCAGCTCTCAGACGAAGCCGCCCAATGCCAACTAGTTCCAATATCGATCAATGCTACTCTGATCGAACAACTGACTGAAGCCCACTACGTCGGTATATTTCCACAATCGACGAAAATCGCCACCCAGTGCCAAGTATCAGGCATATCAGTACTTCAAGGGACGTTCCTCATCGAGTTACCACCAGGCTGTGAGTTTCACACCCCCGAAGACAGCTACATTAATTCCAAAGAAGTGGTATCGAAGAACCGCTAACCCTGCCAAGAATCAAGACTATCAACAGTGAACCGATGAAACATCTGAGCCCGATCCGCCTGGAGAAAGTCGCCCTCGATGAACTCCACCAAATCCAAAGCGAGCAAGAACACCTTCAACCCTTAGTCATCAGAGAAGCCGCCGACCACAGTCACTTTTGGACAGCCCCGGTATACATCGTCGTCGCAGCCATCCTAGCAGCCATTTGTTACAAGTGGCGCCGATTCCTCACCTGCCCAAAGAAGACATCGCAGAAGCCAGCACCGCAGTCTTCAGTTCTGTTCGTCCCTCACAAAACTTCTTCAGGGGATGAAGTAGTTACAATTTGATTCCACCTTTATTCAGCGATATCTGAAGCCACCACCGTTACGGATTCCTAGAGTTCTCATGAGAACGGTGCCGAGATGCTGACTTTGCGTATTCACTTGAATTATATTCCATATTTTATAGTTAGTCTGACTTTAGAATTCTTACTGTTTACTTGGTACCTAATTTTGATTTTTGTTAAGTTCTGTTCCGAAATAAATCTTTTTAAAAATAAGATTTCCCGGATTCAAACTTTAACTTGTATGTCACTGTATTTTTTGCGGAAATAACTCTCACACAATATTGTTAGAGAGTACGAAAGATTGAGGAGGAGAGGAATCCATTGTGCAGTTATTATCATGAACAAGGACAAGATAGTTTATTATTTTCGTTCGCACGAAAGCGAGTTCCTATAATGTTCGAGGAATATCTTGCGTACCTAGGGAGTATAGGGAGGGGAGATAGGTATTGACTTTTTTTTTGAACTTTTGGGAATTATGAGTTCTTAAAAATACTTCTTTAGGCAATGAATTCCAGAGCTCATCCTAGTTGTGACTTCAATACTTTTCAGATGTCAGAAGACTGTTCCTATTGTTCTTATAAGTATTATATCGAAGACTGGAACCTTTGGCACGATAATACACTACACTGTTTTACCACTAACCAAACCGATTTTTTAACGCCTCGACACGTGTTTCGCTAACTATGTTAGCATCTTCAGGAGAAGATTAAAACTAAATATCCTATTCTAGTGTGCTGCTTATATACTAGGTATATGTTCACCCAAAAATGTGAAAAATACTAACCGTCAAGTTAATGTTTGTCATGGTTGAGTTCACATTTTAATCTTAATTTTTATTTTACTAAACTATATAGAAGGCTATATGGAATAGGTCCATTATCCTTATTCATTACTCTATTACTATTCTTAAATATCTCTAAGCTTTCATATGCGTCTAGTTTTCTAATGTTATTAACTTGCTTAACTAATTTGAGGTTAGTAATATGTGTGTTATGATTGTGATTGAACATATGTTCGGCTACACAAGATTCATCTAACCTGCCATATTTTAAATGGGCTATGTGTTCTTTGAACCTTGTTTTTATGGGTCGCCTGGTTTGGCCTATATTGAAACTTGATACTTGAAAAGTCGGGAATATACGAAATAAGTTGTAATGATTGTGATAAAACATATATACTGGTACATGGTACTCTACATGGTTGCCGATAAAATAGTGTACGCAACACGTCCAAAAACAGGTTTTTTCGGACACGCAGACTTCCAGGACTCGCCTACGGCTCGGACTAGATTTTTGTCTACTCGTCTAAAAAAACAGTTTTTTCCGGACTTGTTACGTGAATAACTATTGTGTCTCATGTTCTTTGTTCAGCTCTTTAATTATCTAATTAATACCATCCAGTGTTCAACAAGATGACAAGTGTGTTCACAGTCTTCAAAGAGCGTAAAATAAAATGTTCGAGGCAATCTAGTCACCTGGGAGTGAGAAATATAAAAACTCTCCTCATCACTTGATAATAATGAAATTCATGAAAACTCCCGTGGCTTGTATCCCCCTTGTAATAAAACAGGAGAACATCTTATATACATTAATAAAGGAACTGCGTACTTACAGACAACAATACCTGAGGGGATTAGAGGCTGCCTCTTTAAGGACCAGCGATGCCAGCGCCTGCTGTACGGCTTCGTTCTGGAAAAGAAGGAGAAAAATCAGCTTCTAATTAATAACGAAAGAAAAAAGGCGGAAGATCAATGGGCTTCCCTTCGAACTGTACGGACCAGTTACAAAGTGGAATCAATCAAATCCTGCCCAATTAGATTTTCATTCTGAATACGGGGTATGCACATAACTGTTGGAGAATTATGATGATTATTCCATTCACACCCGGTTGGATCTATGAAATGTCATGATTGAAGTCACATGATATGCGATATCAGCGGCTATTTAGGTAAACAAACAATATTTTGTTCGCCAGCATAAGAGTGATATGGTTGTCAAACTCTGACATACCTATCAGTCACTCAAAAATTGAAATGTCTCGTTTTGGGTCAACTTCCACTACGAAAATTCGTAATTATGTAAGCAAATCAATATCAGAAAATAACAAGGAGAGTAAATAGTCTGTCTGAGGAGAATGGTGAGAAATATTAGGAATACACAGTTGAAATTGATATGGAAATATATATACAGGAAGGTTACTTCAATGAATATAAACGTGAGACAAATCCATTTGAATATATCGAATTCAAAGGTGCCAGGGTTGCGCATAATGCAAAAAGGCGAAGCCTACAATATTTTCCTCGAACAATAAAGGAAAGTACTTATACAGAAGTTGAATTGATTACAATTGTACGTATACAGGGTGTCCCATTGGGAAACGGAAAAACTTCAACAGTGGGTAGAGCTCATCAAGGTGGTTCTGTATATACCATATTTGTAGGGTCTCGCAAGTTTTATATCCGAGATATAGGGTGTTTTATCAATTTTGTTCAATTCTTCGTGAGGACATAACTTATGAACCACCCAGTATATTCAATTGAAATTTGGTACACAATTTCGCCTTCTTCTACCAAAGCGACTCACCTATCAGTCACGAGAAAAATCCAGGACCGGATCAACGAAAATTGATCATATATCTGGACCCCAAAAATATCACCCTGTATTTTCTAATTTCCAAAATCCGCTCACATATTCGGAAAGTGCATGAAAATCTGAATCGTATGATGTACTTTCCATGCTATTTCACTAGGTAATTTCTGATTTTGAATATGAGGTTTCATGCATTTGGATAGGTAAAAATGAAATGTTTTGAGTTTTTTCCAATCGAATAACAAAAACTATCACGAATCAGCCAGTATATCCTTCAGGAATTTGGTACACAAGTCCTCCTTCTTCTACCCCAGCGACTCACCTATCAGTCACGATGAAAATCCAGGTCCGGATTAACGAAAAATTATGATCTTCAGGGCCCAAAAAAGAACACCCAGTATTTTCGAATTTCCAAAATCCGATTCCATATTTGGAAAGTTCACAAAGAGATGAATCGAATTGTGTACTTTTCAATATCCCGCATGCTCTTTCACTAATTAATTTCTGATTCTGAAAACTCAAAACTTTCCATTTTACCTCGATTTCTACCTATCCAAATACATAAAACCTCAAATTCAAAATCAGAAATTCAGTAGTGAAATAGCATTCGTATGAAAATAAAAAGTAGACAATCCGATTCAGCTTTTGTGCGATTTTCAAATATGTAAGCATATTATAGAAATTCGAAAATACAGGGTGTTCTTTTTGGGGCCCAGAAATATAATCAATTTTCGTTAATTCGGACCTGGATTTTTCTCTTGAATGATAGGTGAGGGGCTTGGGTAGATCAAGGAGAACTCGTGTACCAAATTCCAAAAAAATCTACTGGGTGGTTTGTGATAATATTATTCGATTGGGAAAACTCAAAACATATTATTTTTAACTATCCAAATGCACAAAACCTCGAATTCAAAATCAGAAATTCCTTTGTGAAATTACATGTAGGAAGATGAAAAGTACACCATTTGGTTCAGCTTCTTGTGCACTTTCCAAATATGTAAGCGGATTTTGAGAATTCGAAAATACATGGTGTTCTTGTTAGGGTCCAGAAATATGATCAATTTTCGTTAATCCGGACCTGGATTTTTCTCGTGGATGATTGGTGAGGCGCTTGGGTAGAATAAGGAGAACTCGTGTACCAAAGTCCAGAAGAATATACTGGGTGGTTCGTGATAATTGTTGTTATTCGATTGGGAAAACTCAAAACATATTATTTTCACCTATCCAAATGCATAAAACCTCGAATTCAAAATCAGAAATTCCTTAGTGAAATTGCATGCGGGAAAATGACAAGTATACCATTCGGTTCAGCTTTTTGTGCACTTTCCAAATATGTAAGTGGAATTTGAGAATTCGAAAATACAGGGTGTTCTTTTTGGTGTCCAGAAATATTATCAACTTTTGTTAATCCGGACCTGGGGATTTTTTCCTGACTGATAAGTGAGTCGCTTTGGTAGAAAAAGAAGGAATTGTGTACCAAATTGCAAAAGAATATACTAAGTGGTTCGTAAGTTATGTCCTCACAAAGAATTGGGCAAAATTGATAAAACACTCTATATCTCGGATATAAAACTTGTGAGACCCTACAAATATGGTATATTCAGAACCACCTTGAAGTTTCTCCGTTTCCCAATGGGACACCCTGTATATGATGAGAATACCCCAGACGGCCTTCAGAAGAATTTTTATTTAAATAGTATTTGCAGAATTGTAACTTGAATAAAAATGTTGAAACTCATATGAACCAGTATTTTTACACTGTTCATGAAATAATCTTCCTGAATATCACTCGACCATGACAAATGGAGACAATTATTTTCTTTAATTCATCTCGAGTAACTTGTATTTTGGGACAATTCAATTCGACCATATGAACATAAATAATCATAGAATAACTCCCTCGAGCTAAAGCTCTCGGGAGTTATTCAGTTTATTAATGTTCATATGGTTTCATCAAATTGTCAAAATACAAGGTACTCTCGATAGAATCATGAAGAAAATAATAGTCGGCTATTTGTCATGGTCTCGGGATATTACCTTCGAATATTTCTCTCATAATATATCGGTGATTGCACTGCAGAGCGAAGATTGCACTGCGAAGAGATTCCGTAACAACAAATTCATAAAGCCATGTCGCTAGACGCCAGTAAACGATACAAATAAATGTCAGATGGACTTCAAAAGAAGTATAAATGTAAGTGAACGAAAAAATACCAAATCCAACAGACAGAATTCCTTACTATAGTACGTATAGTACGTATACGTGAAATATTCCAATGAATCACATTGGTGCATGAAAATTACAAGACAATTTTGCATTCAAGCGTGTTATCTTATACAAATTGCCTCCGTTTATTTTCATATTTTGTAAAACAGCCCTCCTCTTTCGGACTCGGGCTCTTTCGCCAAAATATGAAAATAAACTCTTGCCATTTTTAGATAACAGGCTTTCTCGTAAAACTATCGGTAATTTTTATGCACTTGTGCAATTACAGCCGACTATTACACGCAGTTATCAAATAAACCAATCAGGAACTCAAGAACTCAAGTCAAGTTCGGCCTATCGATAACACCGAACTTGACTCTTAATGCTGATTGGCATGTCAAGGTCGGTGTTTTCAATGTGTATGTGACAGTTAAACGTCAAATATCAGTAATAACGCTGTGAACGGATCTCGCAGATTACATGTAAGTCAGTGAACAGCATCACGAAAAACTCTTTGCGAATGTGGGAAATAATACAGCAATAAAATTGAAACAAATATTGCAAGTACAAGCGGGTTTTCAAATTATCAAGATCGAAGCATCGTACATATACAAGGTGGGGCATTAGTGCGTCGGAGATCGATTGCTCAAGTTCTATGATAGCTAGAAACTCGATTCAAACACGAATATGAATGAGACAACAAGGTCCATAACTAGAAATTATTGCCGGACATGCAAGGGTCACCGGAAAATCTGGAGGATCAGGATCACTTTCTTTGGAATGGAATGCCCCATATATTAGCACATTCTTTGAAGCATCCTTGTGACCTCCATCCACCCCTATTATATTTTTGATATATCTCGATAATTTCAAAGTTATTATTTTTTTTTTTCGAAATAATGTCATCTGCAGAGGCATTGCGAAAAAATCACTGTAGTCACAATTATAAAATTTGAGAGAGAATAATCATAGGGCTCGTAGTTTTGCTAGAAATCAAGATAAACCGTATTTTACCCTTAAAAACCCACCCTCTACCCGACCTCAGATCGCCCGTAATTTATTTTCCCTTTCATCTTTGTTATATTCTCTTTCTTATTCCATGAGTTTCATCCTACTATGTTTTTTCTTCACATTTTACCGTTTTCAGCACTGGTCTGAGTTGGGATAAACGAGATTGCAAATGCGAAGTCATCAGGTTCTTATTTGCAGATAGACAAGGTACATCATGCTAATTTGATCAACAACCTGAGACCTGAACGAACACGAGATATAAACATAAGACAAGGAAATTGAAATAGTTTTTCACAATTATTTTGGCATAGGAATCGTATTTTTCGGCTATTCATCAATTTGCTCATGCCATCACATTCTGCTGTTGTACAATGCACAAAAACTGTAGCAGAAGACGAAGGAATCCTGTTGACACATTATGATTTAAAAGTAAGTACCTACTATAGTCACTCACATATAGTTTTCATTATGGAAATTTGGTAATTTCTCTGATTTCTCATCGGAATTCCTTCTGCAATAGGAGCTAATAGAAATATACCTGAAATTTCTAGAATAATGCAAGGAGATTGGATTCATGCAATCAATCGGGAGGACTGGTCTGACATGCTGACGATCGTGTGTGTTGTGGACATTTTCAATCTATTAGCAGTATGAGCTTGTATTGCAGAAGTGGCAGAAGGAATTTTAATAAGAGATGACAACATTTCATAATGATGACTATGTGAGAATACTATTAACCATAATAATCATACTCCTTCGTCTCTTGCTGCATTTTTTGTGCATTGTACAACAGCACAATGCGAAGATATTATGCTTGAATTAATGAATAGGGCAAAAACACGATTCGTTCGCCATAATATTGTGAAAAACTATTTCAATCCTT